GACAAGACAGAGGTGATCCTAGTTTGTCGGAAGGCAGATGAGGAAATAATACTACCTGTGCTGGATGGAGTTACAGTCTTCCTGAAAACTCAGTTCCGGAGCTTGGGTGTACTCTTGGATTCATCCCTGAGCTTGGATGCCCAGGTCGCCGTGGTGGCCAGGAGTGCATTTTCACAGCTGAAGCTGGTGTGCCAGCCATGCCCATTCCTTGAGATGATGGAATTGGCTGGAAGGCAGATGAGGAAATAATACTACCTGTGCTGGATGGAGTTACAGTCTTCCTGAAAACTCAGTTCCGGAGCTTGGGTGTACTCTTGGATTCATCCCTGAGCTTGGATGCCCAGGTCGCCGTGGTGGCCAGGAGTGCATTTTCACAGCTGAAGCTGGTGTGCCAGCCATGCCCATTCCTTGAGATGATGGAATTGGCTGCAGTGACACATGCTTCACTTCATTTCCATTTGGATTACTGTAACGCATTGTATGTGGGGCTGCCTTTGAAGACTTTATGAAACTTTAGCAGCCCGAAGACTGACTGGGGCCAGCTACAGGGAACACATAATGCACCTGTTAAAAGAACTGCACTGGCTACCAGTCCGTTTCCAGGCCCACTTCAAAGTGCTGGTCATTACCTATAAAGCCCTTTACAGCTTGGGTCCAGGTCACCCGATGGGCCGTATCTCCCCTCATGTGCCTTCTCAGAATTTAAGGCCATCAGAGGAGACCCTCCTCTCGGTCCCATTGCCAGCACAAGCACAACTGATGGGAACACAGGAGAGGAGGTCCTTCTCGGTGGCAGCTCCCAGGCTATGGAATGCTCTACCTCGGGAGATCAGGATGGCCCCTTCCCTTTTATCCTTTCGAAAAAAAGCTTTCAACAATTATAAGGGAGTCTCTGAAACCCATTTTAGTAGACAGTTTTATCTTTTTAAAGGTTTCATGTTTTAATCTTTTAATTGTATTCCAAATCATATCTTTTAAAATTATCTTTTAAACTTATTGTGTTTTCAAAATTGCGTGAATTTCAATGTTGTGAGCTGCATTGGGTCTTTTGTTGGGAGAAATGTGGCATATTATTATGTGGGGATTTTGTAGTCTAAAGTTCCATCTTGTGGTTGTTTAGGGATACATCAGTGATGTTTAACATAATCATTATTTTAGTATAATCATGCATTCTCCTGTGATTCTCCTTATAATCATCCCATTGTTCTATGATTACAACCCAAATAACAGCAATAGAAGAGAGGTAATTTTTGAGACGCCCATGAGCAGACAGCCTCAATGGATCAGGGATACTCAGTGTTCTTCTCCAACAGTTTTTGGGACCTCCTCTCTTTCACAAGAACAAAGGTATACATTGTTGTAGAAATGGTAAGAGAACAGTTCTAATAAAGAACACAGAAAACTTTCTCTTTGATCAGAGGAGCGTTTTAAGAGCCCTTGGGCTAGACAAGTGCTTCACACCCATTGGGCACTGAAAAATGCTCCATGAACATCTGCCGTTTAGTGCAGTGGCTCCCCACCTGAGTCTCCAGGTGTTGTTGGACTGAAACTCCCAGGTATCATCACCAGGAGCTGTGCTGGCTAGAATATCTGGGAGTTGTAGTCAGAGAACCTCTAGGGACCCCCAAGACTGGGAACCACTGGTTACAAGTTCTATGCAAACTTCTCTGTGCAGTGTCATGATTGACTATGAAACAAGGGAACGCATCCGAACAGCCATTGGCATCAGCTGGAGTAGACCCACGGAAAGATCCCAAGCCGTTTCCCTCTTTAACAGATCACCCACCTCTTGAGTTCTCATTGGGTCCTTGCCAGTTTTCCCCCACCCGTCAATGAAGCTTTTCCCACATCTCACTAAGGTCTAAGGCTTTCCTTTGGGTGGCATCCCTTGTTTTCAAAACAAGCGCCTTACATATACCTTACGTTGGGCCGAGCATGTAGAGGAACTGGTCTGACTTCCATTTGGAGCTGCTTCAGCCTTCTCCCAGTTTGGAGAGAACGAAAGATGGACAGGAAGGCCTCATCCGCTTTTGGGAAGAGAAGTGTGCTTTGAGACAACAGGTGTGCTTCACAAGTGCTGCCAACACATGTGTCTCTATTTTAGCCACGAACAACCAAGCTTGTCATGGTGGGATACCGAACACAGCATAGTTCACATGCCTAGATCAGGTTTTCAACCCACAATCTCTTCAGTGGGTCCAAAACGCGGCAGCCAGATTGCTGGCTTGGGCTGATCACAGGGGCCAAAATCCATGAGTTATACTCAGAATAATCTGGCTCTAAATCTTTGGTAGCAAACACACATGGCCAATTAGACATTCAGCTAGCCCAATACAATGGCTCCACTGGCTGCCCCCCCCTTTCTGGGCACAATTCAAAATGCTGGCTCTAACGCATAAAGCCGAAAACAAGTTGGGTCCAAATAATCTCTAGGGCCGCATCCCCTGTGAGGATCCACCTGGCTGGGAAGACCATCAGGCCTTTCTCTAGGTCCCCCCCCCTTCAGAGATGCAGTTGGTGGGGAGACGGGAGAAGGCCTTTTCTCTTGCTGCTCCCACAAAAGACCAGGCTGGCCCCATCTTTGCTGTCCTTAAACCAGCAAGGAAAGACCTTCCTTTTCAGGCATGCTCTCCCTTAATAACGGGCTACCAGAGTGGATTTTTAAATGGATTGTTTCCTTATGTTTCCTGCCAACCTAACGGTTCGAAACCATGCAAATGCAAGTAGATAAATAGGGACCACCTCAGTGGGAAGGTAACAGCATTTCGTGTCTAAGTCGCACTGGCCATGTGACCACGGAAGATTGTCTTTGGACAAAACGCTGGCTCTATGGCTTGGAAATGGGGATGAGCACCGCCCCCTAGAGTTAAACACGACTGGACAAAAATTGTCAAGGGGAACCTTTACCTTTACCTTTTTTCCTTAGGTGGACATAAGTTGACTGAATAAGCAACAGAGGCACCTGTTAGTTACAGCAGCAATCAACAAGTCTCAAAAATCAAAGTGTGACATCTGAATTCCCACTTTTATTTACAATTTCTGCCAACGTGTTGTAACTTGCTAATACATTCCTGCTATATTGATTGATTGATATGACATACTTTACCCTGTCTTTCTCCTTAAAAAGGACCCAAGAAACTGCATTAAAAGCCAATATTTAAAGCACTCAAGGGTATGTATACAAAGACTAAAAAAGGATCAAACAAATACCAAGGGTCAACAAAAGGAACCCCAAAACACATTCAGATCGGGAAGGCAGAACATGGCGTTTACCTGTCATTTCTTTGGGGTCATCTTAAATCTTGCTCTCATGGCAGGCGTGTGATACAGACAGAATTTCCCTTTCCTTGAGTTCTTCAACACTTCATATACAGTGGTCCCTCGACTTACGACCATAATCTGTTCCAGAAGATGGGCGGAACTCGAAATGGTCGTGAGTCAAAGCAACATTTCCCATAGGAATGCACAACTTGAAATGGTCGTGAGTCGAAGCACCATTTCCCATAGGAATGCATTGTAACATGACTAATCGGTTCCAGACAAAAATAATAATCACCAAACCAAACAAAGCAAAACCTCCAAGCCCCATTGGAATGCTATGGGGCTGAACAATAATCCAAAACCCCCACCTTCACACAGCCAGCCCCATTGGAACACAATGGGAATGGGGGAAAAAATCAGAACACTCCCCCACAGCCAGCTTCATTGGAATGCGATGGGGCTGGGGGGAAAAATCAAAACACACACACAAACACACACAGAGAGCCAGCTCTATCAGAACATGATGAGGCTAGGGGGAAAAAAATCAAACCCCCCCCAGCCAGCCCCATTGGAACATGATGGGGCTGGGGAAAAACACACATCAAAAAACAAAAACAAAAAAGCACAGAAACATAACCCCCCCAAACCCACCCTTAAAAACCCTGTTAATGTACACACCCAGAAGCAGAAAGCAGCACGAGGCAGTCCGAAGGCTCTCTGCAAAATCATGCACACTAACCATTGGGCCGAAAGAGCTATGAAGAAGCTCTTCGTCAATCAACAGTTAGCCCTCTAATTTGAATTCCTCGCCTTTTTTCCCCTGCCTCTTTTGTTTGCAACTCGAAGCTCCGGACGCAAGTCGAAGCAAAATTTTGCTGCGGGAGCTGGTCGCAACTAGAAATAGTCATATGTCGGGACGTTCGTAAGTTGAGGCACCACTGTGTGTTCCACTGTCTTCTTTTCTCAAGGCTAAACATGCCCAATTCTTTCAGCCTTTCCTCCTGAGGCTTGGTTTCCAGCCCCCTGATCATCCTTGTTGCCTTCCTCTGAACATGTTCCAATTTGTTAGCATCCTTCTTGAAGTGTGGTGTCCAGAACTGGACACAGTACTCCAGGAGACGACTAACCAGTGCTGAATAGAGGGGGACTAGCACCTCACGGGATTTGGAAACTATATTTCTATTAATACAGCCTAAAATATTATCTGCCTTTTTTTTGTAGCCACATCACACTGTTGGCTCATATTTAGCTTGTGAACTAGGACAATTCCAAGAATTCTCCTGCAACTCTGCTGCTCTTAATGTTCCCTCACATGGTGGTGCCTTCCTTTCCTTTGATAGACCTTCTGCTTCCCCCACTGGAGCTTCCACCTTAGACGCCCCAAGCTCTTTATTTCCAGACTCTCCCATCAGTTCTCAATCTTTGATTCTATTCTGCCCATGGAGTTTTGACTTCTCTGATGGCTCATATGTTCTGCCTCTTGGGCTTTATAGGCTCCTCGCTCCTTTCCTCAGGAAAGGACGGCACGCCATTAGGGATGGGTACAGCCCGACCTTCACTCGCACACAATCAGTTACAAGGTGTTCAAAGCTCATCTGGGTATCTCACAAGAAATCTTTTCATTGTGGCAATTATTCCAGGCAGTTCCAAAACTTGTTAATTCTTTCCAAGTTCTTTTATTTACATAATTTCTATATTCCATACTTAAATATAATAAATAAAAAAAATATGAAAGACAGTCTTACAGGTGTGAGGAAAAAACTGTACGTACAGATCTTCAACTCTAAAAGCCATACAGTTATCCAAAACCTGTAGGCTTACTTAAAATACATCCTTGCACCTTGTTAAAAAGATGCAAGTATAAAACAATGATATATTTTCTCTTTACTATTTCCTTTTCTTTCATTAGAACATCCATCTTTTTCTTCTTTACACTATTCTGTAAAAGCTTCCATCATACAATATTTTCTTATTCTCATTTGTTTAACAAAAGTTTCCACATCTACTTTGTGATATCTGTTAATTAACATTGTAAGTAAAACATCACAAGTGTCACTTCAAAATGCACTTCAGTTTTTCTCTTTTCTCTCGGTTTCACATTATGTCACCATTTTGTTGCTTACCCTTTCCAGTGGAAACCAGCACAAAACTGAACAAGCTACTTATGCGTTATTAACTCACCAATAGCTTTTGTACCAAAACAAGGGCTAAAATGTAAACTATATCTCCAGATGCAATTTTTCTAAAAGCTTTCACTTTTAATGCAAATCTGAAACATCTTTTTAAAAGCACTTTTCAGTTTTAGATCAACAAGTCTGCAACACTTGAAGTTTTTTTTAAATTATTCACACTACTAAGATTATCTCTTTGACTGAAGCTCAATCAACATTCCGTGAATTTCTACTTTCTCCGCCATCTGTTTTAATGAGAACTAAAGCTATTCATCTAATTCAAGCTTTCCACATTCCATGTATTATCATTTCTTCCCAATGTAAGAAGAAATGAACAAAGATACGTGCTCCTACTGAAGCTTTTTCTACATTCGACACATTTCTTTGCTTTCTCCCCAGTGTGAATTCTTTCCTGTCACCTAAGGCTATTGGTGGACTGAAGCTCTTTCTACATAATATGCATTTATGTAGTTTTTCCCGTGTGGGTTATTTTATGTGAAATCAGGCCACCGCTCTAACTGAAGCTTTTTCCACATTCTGTGCATTTATATGATTAATCTCCTCCATAAATTCGTTAATGTAAACCAAGGCTAGTGCTGTCACTGAAGCTCTTCCCAGATTCCGTACATGAATACAGTTTCTCTCCTGTGTGGGTTCTTTGATGTCTATTGAGGCTACTGCTGTGACTGAAAATCTTTCCACATTCCATGCATTTATATGGTTTCTCTCCTGTATGGGTTCGTTGATGTGAACTAAGGTTACCACTCCGATTGAAGCTCTTTCCACATTCCGTACATCGATATGGTTTCTCCCCTGTGTGGGTTCTTTGATGTAAACTAAGGGTATTAGTCCGATAGAAACTCTTCCCACATTCCATACATGGATACGGTTTCTCCCCTGTGTGTGTTTTTTGATGTGACCTAAGGGAACCACTCTGACTAAAGGTCTTTCCACATTCCATGCATTTATATCGTATCTCCCCAGTGTGAATTTTTTGATGTGAACTAAGATTATCACTCCGATTGAAGCTCTTCCCACATTGCATACATGGATACGGTTTCTCCCCTGTGTGGGTTCTTTTATGTGAGCTTAGGTGACCACTCTGACTAAAAGTCTTTCCACATTCCATGCATTTATATGGTTTCTCTCCCGTGTGAGTTCTTTGATGAGAACTAAGGGTATCACTCCCTTTGAAGCTCTTTCCACATTCCATACATGGATCCGGTTTCTCCCCTGTGTGCGTTCTTTTATGTGAGCTTAGGTGACCACTCTGACTAAAAGTCTTTCCACATTCCATGCATTTATATGGTTTCTCTCCCGTGTGAGTTCTTTGATGTGAACTAAGGGAATCACTCCGATGGAAGCTCTTCCCACATTCCATACATGTATACGGTTTCTCCCCAGTATGAGTTCTTTGATGTGAACTAAGGGAATCACTCCGATGGAAGCTCTTCCCACATTCCATACATGAATACGGTTTCTCCCCAGTGTGAGTTCTTTGATGTGAACTAAGGTTACCACTCCCACTGAAGCTCTTCCCACATTCCATGCATTTATATGGTTTCTCCCCTGTGTGGGTTATTTGATGTGATGTCCATTTCTGCTCACTGGTGTTTTCAATTCCTGCTTGTTTATGAGTTCCTGCCCAGGATGCCCTGGGTGTCTCTGGGTTATTCTTCTCCTCCTGTTCATCATCTGGTAGATTATAAAAGAGAAGAGAAACAAACACTTCAGAAATCTGCAGGAACAAGGAGAGATGCAGTCGGGCCCTGCCTGAATCATGGAGGAGGAAGCAAGACAGACAAAAAGCTGAGATAGGGGAACCGTGGGGGTGAGGCTGGAGGACAATGTATTCTTTAGTGCTTGAGTGGGGAGGGGCACTTCTCTGACTTATCTTTTGGGGGGAGGAATCATGAAGTGAAGATCATTTCCACAGCAAACAAAGTACGTTAAATGTGTTCTTGAAGGCTTTCATGCCTGGGATCCAATGGTTGTTGTAGGTTTTCTGGGCTGTTTGCCTGTGTTCTGGAGGTTTTTCTTCCTAACTTTTCACCAGTCTCTGTGGCTGCCATCTGTGGCCATGACATATGGCAGAAATACTTAATTAAATTTCTTTTGCTTTTTGCTTTTTTTCTTTGTGGGGGCCCGTTTTTCCTTTTCAGCTCAAGAACATACTGAACACCTCTATGGGGAGGGAATGGTCAGACCCGGAGACTGAACAGACTGAAGCATAAGAGCACACCTGCCATGTTCCTTAACATTGCTACTGTGCTGCAGAGAGCAAAAACCATACCAGCCTTCCTCAGGACATGGAGACTGAACAGACTCTGAAGCAAAAGAGCACACCTACCATGTTCCTTAACATTGCTACTATGCTGCAGAGACACAAAAACCATACCAGCCTTCCTCAGGACAAAAAGGACCTTCGTTTCCCCACAGGCTAGCCACATCTATGACCGCTTGGAACATGCTTTCCTACTGGAAATAATCCACACAACCTGCAAAAAACTGAACCCCACAGACAAAGAACTACTGTTCCTACACATCAATATCAGCCAAAAAGAAAAAAAAAGAAGTCATGATTGGGACAAGATCGATATCCTCTCCTACAGAAAGATGGAAAAAGAAATGGTGGGCCACACAGCCAAATACAGAAATTAAACAAATGCCAAACAAATCAACCAATACCTGCACTAGACACCTCACGCATCATCATCAACCTATCTGAATGCCATCTCTCCCCAGAAGAATCCTCAGTCTTAGCGAAAGGAGGAAACCTTGAAGTCACACCCAGGAAAATTCTGGTGGAAGACATCATTGCCAACATGGAATCAGCCATATACCATTTTCTGGAGGAAAAAACATGGAAAAAGAAATAGAGGGCCAACTCACTTTCTTAGATGTCATGGTCATACAGAAACCTGACCTCCTATTGGGACACGACATCTACTGAGAAATCCACACCTACACAGACTGGTACCTACACAAAAACCCACACCTACAGACTGGTACCTACACAAAAACGCCACCTTCTTCAGCCTAATGGTTCAGTGGAGGTCCCGGACTGCTCAATGGTTCACTGTAATGAATTTGTTACACACTTTGAGGGAAAAATTGCTCAGATTTGCAAAGAGTTGGACTCCACTGTTGATGCAGAGCCTATGGTTGGGTCCACATGTCATCATTTATTGGATGAGTTCCAGTTGTTACGACCCGAGGATGTGGACAGGGTGCTTTGATTGGTTCATGCCACCACTATGCAACTCGACCCTTGCCCATCATGGCTAATAAAGGAATCTGCCAGGGGAGTTCACACCTGGATCCTGAATGTCATCAACTCCTCGTCAAGAGAGGGAGTGGGCCCTGCTCCGTTAAAGGAGGCAGTGATTCACCCAGTCCTAAAAAAACCTAATCTGGAGCCAGGTCTAGTGATCAACTTCCGGCCAGTAGCGATCCTCCCTTTTCTGGGCAAGGTGCTGGAATGTGTGGTGGCTGAGCAGCTCCAGGCTCTCCTGGATGAAACGGATTATCTAGATCCATTGCATTTGGGTTTCAGGACGGGTTATGGGATGGAGACTGCCTTGGTCGCCCTGTTTGATAACCTTTGCTGGGAGAAAGACAGGGGCAATGCATCCCTGTTGATTCTCCTGGATCTCTCAGTGGCTTTCCAAACCATCGACCATGGTGTCCTTCTGGACAGACTGGCTGGAATGGGAATCGGAGGCACTGTTTTACAGTGATTCCGCTCCTACCTGGCTGATCGAGTCCAGAAGGTGATGCTGGGGGACAGTAGCTCTGATCCATGGCGGTTGCATCATGGTGTTCCTCAGGGTTCTATACTGTCCCCCATGCTATTCAATATCTACATCAAACTGCTGGGGGAGATTGTTAGGAGGTTTGGGCTGAGGAGTCAGCAATATGCTGACGACACCCAGCTCTACCTCTCATTCTCTACCAATCCAGGTGTGGCAGTCACCGTTCTGAATTCATGCCTGGACTCGATAATGGTCTGGATGAGGGTCAATAAACTGAGACTCAATCCCAACAAGTCAGAAGTGCTGCTGGTAGGTGCCCCGCCAGATAGGTTAAAGGGCCATTTCCCTGCCTTAGGTGGGATTACACTCTCCCTAAAGGACAGGGTCCGCAGCTTGGGGGGTGCTCCTTGACCCCAGTCTGACCTTGGAAGCCCAGGTGGACTCGGTGTCCAGGGGTGCCTTCTTACAGCTGCAAAGAATATATCAACTTCACCCTTACCTGGATGAGCGGAGCCTGGCAACAGTCACACATGCATTGGTAACAACCAGACTGGACTACTGCAGTGCGCTATACGTGGGGCAGTCTTTGAAGATGGTCCAGCGACTGCAACTGGCACAGAACTGGGCTGCGCAGCTGGTAAGTGGTGCCGCCGCACGGACTCATATCACGCCAGTGTTACATACAGCACTGATGTTACCTGTCTGTCATGGGTTTGGAGGGAAAGTTCCATCCTATGGGGAGTGGAAGGCGGGACATCAGGAGGAGGGGCTGTACTGTATATATACCATCCCTGAAAGAGGTGAGGGGAATGGCATGCTGAAATAGGGGCTTCTTGGCTGTTGCCCCCCACTTTGGAACACCCTCCCTATAGAGATCCCCCTACTCCAACACTTTCGGCTTTTCGGTGCCAGGCAAAGACCTCTTTGTTTAGCCAGCATTATAATTAAACAGTATTCCTTAGCTGGCCATATGAGCAGCAGAACTTATTAATATTAATGTTTTAATGATTGTCTTTAATACGTATAAGATATTATTATAATATTGCCTATTTTAATGTTTTTAAGATTTTAATATTGTTGTACGCCACCCAGAGACCACTGTTAATGGCACAGCTAAAAAGAATCTTGTAAATAATTAATAAATAATCAAAACACTGATAGACCATGCGAATCGGAACTTTGATGCTCAATTTCTCAGCATCAAACCCAACCATCTGAATTGGGCCCTACAGGCAAATGGCTATTTCAAGAATGAAATCAGAAGAGCCATCAAACCAAGAAAACAACACCAAACTGAAGAGGAAAAACACCCCACAAATAAAGTATTTCGGGGTCACGGACCGCATGGGGAAACTTTTGAAAAAATGCAACCTACAAATAGTATTCAGGCCCACCACAAAAATACAACAAATGTTATGGTCAGCAAAGGACAGAAGGGACCCCATCACCAATGCAGGAATATATCAGATATCTTGCAGTTGTGACCAGGTATATATTCGGATCACAAAACACAGCATCAAGACCAGAATCAAAGAACATGAAAGACACTGAAGATTAAAACAACCAGAAAAATTGGCAGTAGCTGAACATGGCCTGAAACAAGCTGGACATAAAATCCTATTTCAAAACACAGAAGTACTGGACACCACCAACAATCATTATGTTAGACTTCACAGGGAAGCCACTGAAATCCACAAACACCAGCACAGCTTCATCAAAAGAGAAGGAAGTCTAAAACTCAACAAAGCCTGACTCCTAGCACTGAAAAATACAGCCTGCAAAAAGGTCAATAAACTCTACCCAGTTGCAAGGATCAGTGACCCCTGCACACAAAAGACTAGTCAACAACACCCATTAATCACTGTGAAAGATTATCTCCAATCCTTGTCACAATAATACACCCATAACAAAACACCTTGATCACAGGAATTGCTGAATCTCCCAAAAAGAACAAAAACCTAATCTCACTGCTAAAAATACTCAACAATCCCAAACACTACACCAGAACACAGAGTTCTAGTCCTATCCTCTGAAGATACAGGGCACAGAGAGTGATGAAACGTTCAGAAGAAAAACCTCTAGAACATGGCCAAACAGCCTGAAAAACCTCCTCCAGTTTTAGTTGGTAGAGGCAGATTTACAGCCTTCAAAATATTAGGTAGAATTCTATTCCGGAAAGTTTATTTTCTTGTGATCTCATTACTCCATTAAAAACCCTTTTGATGAAAATGTAGCAATTATAAAAGTGGGTCACAACTCAAAAAAGGTTGGGATAAATTCCTCTAGATTCAATTTAAGGAGAGAGCACTATTACCAGCAGTAGTTATAATCAGAGGGGAAAAGGATAATATAACAGGAATAAATATGAGATAATGTTGTTTAATTAGAATAGGGAGAGAAAATATTTAGGAATAAATTACTAGAAATTAAAAGATTTCTGAAAACCACTATTTGATAAGTTGAAATTATAAATTAAAAATAAATCATGGTAGAATTGGCTCATGTAAAATGAAAACTGTACTAAAGATCAATTTTTTCTATTCTTTTTTTTTTAAATCCTTATTCTTTTAGTCTCCCCAAAAACTGAAGTGAATTTTTCAGAAAATTATAAAGGAATTTCTCAAAACTT